CTCTGTTGGTACCTCAGAAACATTACCACACAGACACTGTTCTTTTTGATGATTAATTATTGGCAGCTTATTTTTAACTCTTTTTCTCTACCAGGTACAAAGTCTTTGCCTATATAGCACATGCAGATGAAGCACAGCTTTACCTATTCCTTACCATGGTTAGCTCACCCTTGCTACACAGATGACCCAGATATCAACTGTTGCATAAAGAGCAGCTAGCTGAAGCTGAACCCAAGTAAGACCTCTTATTTGATGCTGATTAATGAAGGAAGATGCATTGAAAAATTGCAACTGACTCCTTTGCAGTGACCGCACACCTGCCATTATCAATTCAGTCCATTGTTTAGGAGTACTCCTAATTTCTTGAGAAGATGCTCTCACCAGGCAACATCTAGTAGTAATACTTCTTTACAATTTCTGATTGGCCAGAAGAGCCCCTCCTATCCTGATGGATGGTGACCTGGCCTCACTCATTCATGCCTTGTTCACCTCTCAACTGGACTACATGAGATATCTGGACATAAAGACTTCAGCACGTGGGAAACTCCAGCTAGTATAAGATGCAACAGCGTATTTCTTTAGCAATACAGGGTACCACAAGTACATCAAATATGTCTTCTGCTCTCTATTCCAGCTTCCAATAGAATCCTGAGTCAATTTCAAGGTCTTAGTTATTGCTTTCAAGATACTCTATGGCATGGGCCCACAATACCTAAACAACTGTCTGAAGCTCTAGAATCCAAACTGTAGTTGACAACTTTATTCCTTGAGCACAATGGAACTCAACAACATCTCACTTGAAGATGGAACTTTTTTACAGGCTGGTGTGAGAGTGCATAATGCACTGCCCCAGGAATGAAGGTCCATTACAAACCTCAAGACGCTTTGCTTCAATATGTAGCATGTTTCTTTGACTCGGCCTTCTCCAACACAAACACAGAACAACAAATATATTAAAAAAAAACCCTTAAAACCCTTTCAAAATATGGTACCACACTGTCATTTCTTCTACAGGAGAAAGAATGAGAGAAAAATCCAACATGCATGCAAACGATATTACTCATATTGCGTAATGCACAACTGGAAGGTGTTCAGATACCACGGAAATGAGCATGGTGGAAGAACCTACACAGAGAAGAATAGGGTTTAGACATTACACCTCTGTGCTGTTTCTTCTAGGAGAAATAAACATTCTTACAAATCTATGTCATTTAGTGTGTAAATGGAAGATGAGTTCCTTTGAAAATCAAGCCTTAACTGCTGGGGCAAGAAGACCAGTCTGTGAATGTGGGCAGCAAAGATCTAGAAGGACACTGCTCTGGAGATATGAAATTGTCACAGGTACATGTTCATTACACAGTGCTGGGCTAGTAGTCAGGACACCAGTCAAGTGCTCAGAAGGTGCAGATTCAATACCACAGACATCCTGCTCTGGGAAAGTCATTCAAGTAGAAGGCAGGGTAGATTTGCACCTTATAGGTTAACCAAAGAGAGAGAGAGAGAGAGAGAGAGAGAGAGAGAGAGAGAGTGTGTGTGTGTGTGCGTGTACCTTATTAACCTGAGAGAGCTAGAGAGCAAGACAGCACGTGAGCATGCATGCACACACCCATCCGTTGTCCATTTATAAATGAGGATCCTGCTACTTCCCCTTCTACACAGGGGTGATGCAAGGATAAAGACAGTAGGGGTTAGATGCACTGCTAATGTGAGTCCTGCAAGTACCTTGATAAAAGGTTTATACACTAAATTATACTACATTTGTTTTATATTATGTGTATTACATCAGGGGTGCCCAACCCTACCCCATGGACCAAACCCAGTCTGTGGCCCCATCAATTCAGCCTGCAGGGCTCCCCACAGGTTGGGAATTTTGGCAACTGGGAGTAGAGGCAATTAATACTGCCACACCTTCCTCGCTACCAAATTCCCAAGCCCTGTGCAGCTAATTGGGGCTGTGCTATATCCCCTTCCCCCTGCATGGCTGGATCAGATCCTGCCCATCTGGCCTGCTAGGCAAAAAGTTCAGTATCCTTGAATTACATCATATTGCACGGAAACCAAACTAGACAAGTCCTGTATAGCTTGCAAAGTTATACCATAATACAATACATTTCACAGAAGTGGGTAGTGGAAAGCTATGCTTGCCTAGGAGTTTATTTTTGCTCTCTTCACTTTTTTGAACTTGTGATAGGGCAAAGCTAGGGCTGCGTACACAAGGGAAAGTGTAAGCAATGTAAGATTATATTCCACTTGAAAACTAGCTACTGAAAGGCCTTTTTGACATTTGTTTAAAAACAAAACCAAGGGAAGCAAGGTAGGTGCATGGGACTGGATTCTGTGGAAATGTTCTTCCAATCCTAACCTGTTTAAAACAATGAATTACTGGGGGATTTTATTTTTAAATTAAATGCCAAAAGATTAAATTGGGTTGTCTACAGTGTGCAGAAGGGATAATAGTGCAGAACAAAGTCATTAAACTGAAAGATTTTGTTCAAACTGGAAAACGTATGTTTTGTATATAAAAGTGGAAAGTGTAGATATAAGTCTGACTTCTCCAGTCCCCTGCTTCCTTCTATACCACCTGTTCACTGGCTTCTGTCCATAACTCCTGGCAATCCTAGTTTCACAGTCCCCTATTTTTGCCACATCCTCTTCTCTTCCCTTCACTGTGAAACCTGAGGGCAATGTTCTATGCTGCCCATTTGAGTGGCTGGAGAGAACTTCTTTCACTGTCACTTACCTCCCATCCATACACACCTGAAGGTCCTGTATCTTTCATATTTCACCTTACCTGGAATTAATGTGTTGTTCCACTCCTCCACACCTTCCCCCTTTGGCTAGCAGTTGCAGCAATACTGACCTGGAACCTGAGTCTATTTATATTCATATATCTTGAGTTTTTGGTAACAGGAGAAGAAAAAAGCCAACACTGTCAACTCCTGCAACCTGCACTGCATTACTTTAAACCCTACCTGAAGGATACAAATGATTACTCAAGCATCTCAGATTTTACATTTTTCTTAATTTAAGTATTTAACAAAGAAAAGCTTAGAGACATGGCCAGAGCACGTCCCAAGGGCCAAAACAAATAAAGAGAGACCAGGGTTTTTTTTGTTAAAGTCTAATGGTGACCTAAGTCATGATTTTTGTGTATAAAACAAAGACAAAGGGGAACAAACTACACTGGCACACTAGGAAGGCAGCTCCACCTCTCCATGTTAACTCAATACATAGGGAAGTCAGGCAAGACTTTCAAAAAACTGTGCACAAACTACAGAGCAAAGTGGACAAGGAGAGCTTGTTTCAACTGAGTTAAGAAATACCTGAACATTCAAGGTTTGTGCCATTCTTCCTAAACTGGAAGCTCACTTTTTAAAAATCCTTAATTCTTACATGTTTTGTGTGATCTTTTTGCCCTGGGCTGGACACTTTTCTTCTTCCTTTGGCATCTGACCTATATACCCTAGCCCTAATCAAGCAGAGAAAAGAACTTCCTTAGTGTTGGATATCCACAATCCTTCTTTGTCATTCCTTCACAAACTGTCACTCCACCCAAACCCCTAAGTGGCATCCCCTAAAAAATAGTCAAAATGAGACAAAGTGTGGAACGTGGAGGCCAAGCCACTGGGGAGATACGCTAACCTAAAACATTTCATTTTTCCAAAAAGTTCAACCCCTTGGGGGATTTTTAAAAACATATCTGAAATTAAAACATCTGATTTTTTCCAAACATCCCCCCCGCCAAATTCTAGCCCTGCAAAAAATGTGGCCTATGACATTGGAGAAACTTTTCTTTTTTAAATGGGAACAGGTTTTAAATTGGGCTTATAATCAGAAGTCAGTTTCAACTGCAACTGCCAAGACATGAGTGCTTCTCTGCATGTCTGGCACTTTCAGCCAAGGGTGGCAAAGTACTTTATCCAGGTGCTATTCCCATGGCAGGAAAAAAGAAAAAGATTAAGGCTTCTTGCAGATGTTTAAAAAAAAAAAATCATGCTTTACCAGAAGTAGCAGCACTTTACTTTGACCCAGCTCCTCAGTATCTGTATAGATTGGGCACTTCAGCATGGCTTCTTGGTGCTTTTAGCTAAGCTGATTCAATCAGCTATTAGATAAACGTGCCAAAAAAGCCCCACTAAAGCACCTGATCTATACAGACATAAGGCAAGCTGGGCCCAACTAAGGTGCTGCCTTTTCAGGGCATGCATGGGGCTTAGTGGAAGAATGTACCACGTTTAAACTAAAGTGCCCATTATAATAGAGATTTTTTTTTACATCTGCAAGCAGCCTAAGTGACTTGCCACACAACAGGTCAGTGGCAGACTCAGAAACAGAACTCAGATTTCCTGATTCTCTTCTTAGTTACCAATTCCAGCATGTGCCTAAATTCCTCCTGGCACCCCGAATTTATTGGGAATTAAACACTTTCCCAAGTGTTTTTTATGAGAGGAGATAGGCATGAGCATACGCATACATTCTTTCTTGAATCAGGGCTCTAACCATGAGAGATATTTCACCCTGTTATAAAACATTTGGTATTGAATACTTGAGGAAATTGGTTTCTGATATGTATGAAGGTTTCACAAGTCATCTAAAAGAAATCTCCTTGGAATACTGGTGTACATCCTTTGGATGCTGAATGCTTCTGTAATTCAGGTCAGTCTCCCAAGTATTTTTGTGCATTTGTTTTTACCTAATGTCCACATATCTTATGCATGAAATTCCTATTGAGGCTGTACTGGTGTAACATACAAAGGATCCTTTACTTTGACACAAGGAAATCTGTCAGAGTGATTAGAAGGCAGACCCCACAGCAATCTAGGCATTGCTAGAGCACACATTAATGCCAAATGTATCTGCCCTCTCCCAAAGGAGAAGTCTATTCTGCTTCTATTTCAGCATAAAAACACTCAAGTTTTATATTATTACTCTGGAATACTCTTCAACTTGATACCAAGATACTGACACAATAATAAGCAGTCCAGAAAGACCACATCACAAACTTTGTGAGAAAATGATATACTAAAGGATGATTACAGTACTAAAAAAATGATACTACTTATTTCTGTGCTATTTACAAAGGGACATTTCTTTTTAGAACAAATAAAATCACCACAAAAATACCTATACAGAAACACCTTATTTTTCAAACAGATGATCTACAAGAACTCTGTTTAAGTTACTGGAAATATTAAGACATTTGAAATTAAGAGTGAGCTCTGCATGCAAAGATGGGATATACTGGACACTGAGATCCAAGACTGTCATTTCATTGCAGACTGCGATCAGCAGCACATTTTAAGCACTTGTAAAACACTGCAGCCTCGCTATTAATTTAGGATCTCAAAAGGAGATCATGGGTTTTCTTTAACAATTATCAGCAACTCTTCATTTTGCCTGTAATGAAGGACATTTTGATTGTCTTCCCAGCAGGAGAAAGCAGACTTGTTACAAACAGCGCCCTTTTCCCTGAGTTTCCTTTTAGTGTTCTGCTAGGCATGATGACAGGTTGACTTGATGGACTCACAAGCCTTACTCAGCACTCTTTCCATCACAAGGCAGAATTTAGGAATTCAAGAAGTTCTGCGCGGTTTCGATCCCTCTGTAGAGCAGAAAAGCAGTTTTGTAAATTACTTGTTTGCCCAGTGAACATTTGGTATAAGTCAACTTGCAACATACTCTTCTGTTATAGTAACCTGTCCTACGGAACAACACAACAGAGCTACAGAAATTAATTACTTGCAAAAAGTCTTTAGATAAAGGTTCAACAACATTTTATTCAACAGGCCTGGTTCCCAGAGCTGTGTGTTGTGTGCATCATAACCTCAGGGGGCATTATGGTGGCCAACCATTGCACAGGTTTTGCACCGCTGTTCTGAAAATGGTAACATCTGTGTCTAAAAGTCACAGTGCATGAAGTAACATTTTTTTTAAACAGAGCTCATTGCAAATACTAATTTTTGTTTAAACATATTACACATTCCCATGCTGCATTAGCATCTTCAATCTCTATGTATTCTAACCTATGCAAAAAAAAATTTAAAAAAAGGAGCTGTGAAGTACAGTTACCCAGAGATCACAAGCAGTGTGATTATTGACATGAGAATTGCACATCAGATTTAGCGTAAGTTGGCTTCTGAAAGTTTTTAGTGTCAAAGTAGACAGATAATGCAATTTCTTAATCAAGCCAAAACTACAAATGGTCGGTATAATTTATAAATTGTGAAGTGAATTCTTATGGCTGAATATTCAGCTGATCGAAATTAATAGCTTTTGTTACCCAAACAAAAAAGCATTCTGAATGCATATCCCTTGGTATAGGACAGATCTTGCAAGCAAACAATTGAAGGAAGAACAACTGTTGGGTAATGGCTCAAGGTCAATTTAACTGTCTAAATTTAACTATTTCTTAGCTGACCCTCTTAGAAGAGACATCCAGCTAGTCTAGACCTATGGACAGGGAGAGGGAGCAGGTGTGTGGAGTTGGAGTACTAACCCCTGACCTTCTTTACCGATTTGCTCCTTGCTCAGCAATGTCTAGCCTTACAGGCACGTTAGGAAAATGTGTGGTGGTGGCAACAACCACAACCAAGCACAGAGACTAAGAAAGATGGAAATATGTCCTGGTTCACAGATTGGTACAACAGAACTGGAAATCACGGCGGAGGGGAAAACCAGGAACCAACAATGGGTTAAAGCACTGGTGCTCAATCTTCTGGCCCTGTAGGCCAATAGAGTGGGGCAGGGCTGGTCCACAGGCTTGACTGAGCCCTCTGCTCCGGGATCAGGCCTTGGGGGATTTTTGGAGGGGCAGGGAGGCACTGCCCCTCCCTGCCCCATGAGCCGAGAGCGGGACCTGGACCCCGGCATCATGCTGTTGCCAGGATTGGTCCTTGGGGGCCTGGCACTGACCCCTCCTGGCCCAGTGTGCCAGAATTGGGTCCTAGAAGACTGGCACTGCTGCCTCCCACCAGAATTGGTTCCTGGGAGCCTGGCACTGCCCCCTCCTGACCCAGCAGTTAGGTGTTTGATCCTGGGAGCCTGACACCCACCCCCTCCCAACTCCCCACACTGGGATTGGATCCTGGGACCCAGTGCCACCCTCTTGTAGCCCCCATGTGCCACAAGTGGGCCCTAGGGGAGCACTTCTACCACTCTCTCGAATTTCTGGATTTGTGGGGAACCCCCTAAGTCAGATGACATGGGGGGCCATGGGCTGGATCTGGCCCATGGGCCAGGGATTAGGAATCCCTGGGTTAGACCAGCGGTTCTCAACCTTTTAAACTCAAAGCATCTCTTGGAAAATGCCAGTTCTTAGTTTTCACTTTTCTGACTATAGAGAAAGTATCATATTTACCCAGCTCCAAAATTACTTCAAATTTAAGATATTCCCCTCCCCATCTCTCAATTAAATTTTGTACATGGAAGAGTACAAATTTTCCATGTGTAGAATCTAATTATTGAAGGATCATCCTAATTTATTCCTCACATCGCTGCAGCAGGGAAAATAGCAGGAGAGGGGTAGGCAGCTTGATCCCTGGCCTTTCTCCAACCCCTGTGCTTGTATCCCCCTGTTTCTGTTCCCCATACCCTCCAACTTCCCTTTCCTATCTGCCCCCTCCCTCCCAAATAGCCACTTGCCCTACCTGCCCCATCCCCTCACTGCCGCTTAAACTATGAGATGCCTCTGGCTCCAGCCTGAGGCACAGACCACATGGTGGCTCTAGCAACCAGACAGTCACAGCTCCCAGCTGTTGCCAGACAGCAGCAGCAGATCTAGCCCTAGTCCTGGTCAGGTAGCAGTGGCAGCAGCAGACTCAGCCCTGGGCCCAGAGATGCAGCAGCTCCCCTGTCGCTGTAGTCTGCCCTGTGCTCCCCACAAGCCATGCCCACTTCCCCATCATCTCCCCTGCACTACCCCCACCATACACTCCCTCCCATGTCACATGAACCATCCCAGACCTGGCCTGGTAATAGTAGTGGCAACTAAGGGTGCACCAACAGAGATTTTTGGGGCTGATACTGATACTGGATTTTTAAGGAGGCATATCAGCTGATACCAATGCGGTTTCTGATACACAGCCTGGCAGCTTGAAGAACAATGTCCAGCTGGTAAGTCTGTTGTGGTGGAAAGAGAGGGGGAAGGGAAGGCGTATGGGGGGGGAGCAGATCAAGGCCCCCATGGTGATGGAGGGAGTGGAGCAGGGGCTGGGGCAGGCGCTGCTGAGCCAGGGCCGGATAGGGCATAGGACAGAGCCACAGCTTGTCCGCGGGGCGGGGGGGGGGGTGCGTGGCCCCCAGATCTGTGCAAGGTGGGGCAGCTGCCACTGCAGGCTGGGGCCAGGACTGAGCTCTTTCTAGTGGGGGCTGAGCTGGGCTGGGCTGTGCTGTGCTAGGGTCGGGATCCGGCGCTGGGAGCAGGGCAAGCAGCAGCCACCCCAAAATTC